CTACAATAATTAATTTTTTTATAAAATTTATCTAATAAATAAAAATTTAAAAAACAAAAAAAAATGACAACAAAATCAAATGGTATAACACATAAATTTATTAAATTAAATTATAAAATAATAGTTTTTGATAATATATATAAATATAATATAAAATAAATAATAAAATTTATTTATTTATATATACTGAGACGTAACATTTAAAACTTTAGTTTTAAAAGAAAGCCACAGATTGGATTTCAAAATTTATCAAATATAGATTATCATTCCTATATTTATACGAATTACATTATCATTCCTATTTCTATTAATTTTTTTAATAAAATTTATCTAACAAAAAATAAATTAAAATTTATAAAATAAAATAAAATAAAAAGAAATAGAGAATGAAGGAAGGATGGGTGCCACGTCAACACATTCTCCTTTTTTATTCTCTGCAAAATTAAGAATATAGATACTTTTCCTTATTTTCTTTAATTTAATCTAGTATTTTTCTTTTTTTTTATCTTTTATTTGCCTTTTTTAATAATGATTCTCCTGTAACAATGTCAAAAAGAGTAAACTAGTTTTATTTTGTAAAGAGAATATTGAAATTGATAATATTTAAATGTATATAATTAATGCATTATTTTTTAATATAATTAAAACATTTAAATATAAAAATATTTTTATATAATATTTTAATTATATTTAATTATTATTATGTATAAATACTCCTTAATCAAATTTTTATAAATAATAAATGACACTCACAATTACTATACATGTTAAAATTTTAGTTTTTTTAATAAAAAAAATTACAATAAAAAAATTTTACACATATTGACATTTGAATTTTAGATATATTGAATATCAATTTTTAAAAATAATTATAAATTCGATCCAACTTATTTAAACCTGGAATTCAAAATTCTAATATTTTTATTACACTTTAGTGCTTGACATCCAACAACAAACTTCTAAATTTGATTTGAACTCTCCAAATTTGCTTTGAACTCTCCAAAATTGTTCAAATCCAAATTAAAATCTTATTTTAGTAGTTTGGTCAATGGTGCTTGATTAATGGTAGAAAATGCAAAAGCAACATTACTTTGTCCATTCAAAAGCTGAGGAGTCAATCAAATAAAGGTTCACGTATGGACCATCATACCATATTCTCCAATTCATGGAGCACAAATCATTTAAAAAATGGTTATGACGACCCAAAATTTTTTTATACACTAATAATGAGTATACACAAAGAATCTAGAAAAAGTTTAAAGGTAAAAAGGAAGTGCCTTACATTCTTGTGGAAAAGATGAAGACAAATATTATAGTTTAAAATGTGATTGAAAATCAACGATAAGTTTGCTTAATTGGTAAAAGACTTTTGGTGTAAAAATTTTGAATTCAAATGTAATTTATTATCGTTTGTTGAAATTATTTTAAATATTTATTTTTTAATTATTTATTTTAAATTATCAAATATAATATATTTTATCATAATTTGATGATTAAATAATTTATTTATTTTTAAATTTTGTAAAAAAAAAAAACAAAACAAAATAAAAAAGTGATTGAATGAGCAAAATCCCAACCAACCCAAGTTGACAAAAAGGATGGTGAAGGCATGGAAAAGGCACTCTAGGCTTGCCTTCAAGAATAGCCATTCTTTTTTTTTTTTTTTTTTGGGTGGGGGGGGGGGGGTGTGGTGTGGTCCATTTCATGAGAAATTTGTGGCCCTCAGTATGGGGATCCAAGGAAAAATTTCACGCCAAAAGACTATCGGCGTGTAAGAATGAATAACATAGAAATTGGTACTTACCACCTCTCTCTTGTGACAAATCAACTTTTTCAAAATAATTGTAAAGAAAAAATTGAATTTGAATCTTTTGTACTTTCTGTGTATTAATGTCCGTTCTTAATGTAACTCTATTTCAAAGCTTGCTCATTTTATTTTGAAGGTATCGTTATATCTAAATTTTTTATTTGATAAAGATATATTCTAACAGACTCTTTTAAATATCATGTATGAATTTGAATCAAACATTCGATTTAAATTAAATGCAACATAGAATGAGTTTTTTTGAAAAAATAAATTAATAAAAATAATAGATTTTGTGGTATTTCTGCCTCATATTCATCTTATGTTAATCACGTATAAAATATGAAAAATTATTTGTTATAATTTATATCAATACGTCAAATAAAAAATAATTTTAAAAATTTTTACTAAATTTATAATTTTTTATCAAAATTTTAAATTATATCATTTTTATATAATTTTTTTCATATCATTTTTTAATTAATTTAAATAATAATAAAAAATTAATAGATCTCACGATTTGAATATTTGTATCCTGTAAAATGTTAAAATTCATGTATTACGTTGCTCCAAAATCCAAATCAAAACCTAACATCTTAAATTCAAACAGGCCTTCGGCCGAACGGTTACATAGGTGCATACGTGCTTTGAACTTGAAGAGCTCCCCTTTCTCTCTCTACATTTTGGTGATTCGCATGTATATAATTTCAGCTGGACATGCACATGGTTGAAAGCTTGTCATATTATTGGAACTCAAAGCTGGGAAACATAATTTTTCATAGTGCTATTGTCTGATCAACAACAAGGATACTGTTTTGTAAATTGTTGTGTATGCAGTTGATGGTGTTTGATCTGCTTAAGAGATGATGTTTTCCCCTTGAAAAACATCATTGATACTGATGAAAGTGCTTCAATGAAAAAAAAACGAAGTTACTGGAATAACGAATTACATTTGATTTTGGCTTTGAATTACAGACAAGGTATTTAAATCAAGGAAATTAACATTTGAATTTCACCTTATTTCTCTTCTTTTCAGTTATCAAAGAGCTGATCCAAATTTTATAACTCTGAAGCCAAACAAGGAGAACAAATATGCCTAGTTAAAATAGGAGTAGAATGGGGTGTGTGACAAATAAATGTTAGGTTCTTGATATCTTCCCTTTTTTTATTTTGTTGGTGCAATGAGAGGTGGCTTTGGAGGTTTAGCATTTGCCTTAGGTTGCTATTACTGTTGGTTCCAAGTAATCATGTATGGAGAATAGAGATGGCAATCCAACCCCTCCCAGCATGTTTCAATTTGACTCAAGATTTTTTAGGGTTATTTTTTTTTAAGGTTTAGGATCGGGTCAAGTAATAGAAAAAAAATTCGAAATCAGGTTTTAGGTAAATTAAATTTGATCTTATTTGATATATATAAAAAAATTATTTTTAATTATTTATTTAATAATATATGTATATATTTATTTAATTTTATATTTATATTAAAAAATATTTTATTATTTCGAAGTTGGATCATATACTTTTTATATAATATCAAATCGAGTCGAGTTCTAATATTATGATAATAACATCAAGTGAGGTTCGAGATAACCAAAAACATTCGTCTCGACCTATCTCGTTATCGTTCATAATGGAAAACTGGGAGCTAGCCTTGTAAATTACCTGTCCTTTGGCACTAAGGATATAAACAATAAAGATGTTTTTAAACAACCATTGGTTCTAAGTCTCAAGTAATCACTTACAGGTAGATTTGACAATTTAAATTATGATGACATAACATAAATATAATATAAAAATAAGATATAAAATTGATATAATTTAAAATTATAATAATAATTATTTATGAATTTAATAAAAAAATTATATTTTATATTTTCATGTCGACGTGAATTATAACATAAAATTTTCATATAAAATATGATACAAATATACAAATTTTAATATTTTACAATACACGAATCATCAAATTTACTTGCATGGGTATTCTTTTGTTTACATCTACGTATGTAAACAAATTTTATTATGTTCATTATTTATTTATTTATTTAATAAATCTTAAAATATTGTTTATATATAATTTTTTATTAAATTTAATAAACAAATATAAATGAATAAAAATCAAATATATTCATGAACTATTCATAAAATATTTTATTTATTTATGTGTTTTTTTATAATTATCAATTATATATATATTCTATATGGTCTCATTTGATGGGTTAATTTTATTTTTTATAATTTAATTTAATTTTACTTATTTAAGAATTTTTTGAATATTTTTACATTGATATTATATCAAAATAATTTTAATTTAATTCATCAAAAAAAATTAATTTTAGGTCATCATAACTGTTATGTTTGTCATTTTTATTTGTAGGATTTTAATATTTTTTAATTTTATCATTATTAATTAAATTTAGTTGATATTTATTTATATTCAAATAATAATTAAACTCGCAATGATGTGCGGTCCTCAAAGGCCAAAAGCCCAAAATCAAAAGGATCATGCCCAAGGCCACTTTAGGTATTTACTCTTTTTTCTGGTTGATTAAGTAGAAAGGCTTTGTGAACAAACTTTGAAAAATATTTTAATAAGATCTTACTTAAATTGATTTATATAATTTTTAAATTACAATAATTAAATTTGATAATTTTAAATACGATATTATAATATAATAATATAAAATACATATATACAATTTAAAATTTTAATAAAAATTATATATATATATTTGATAAAAATAAAAAATATATTTTATATTTTGTGTATCATCACAAATAAACATATGAAAATATATAAACGTCTAAGTAACATTTAATATATTTAAAATTTAAATTTTAATATTTATAAATTTTTATTTTTAAATTATAACCTATACATATATAAAACTTTACCAATGATATTTTTTTTTTTTATCAGTCAAACTCCACCAACTTGTATGCCAAGAAGATGAGGAAAAAATCTACATATGAAGTTGAGTTTATATTATTAAAATACTTCCAACTGCAAGACTAGGTTACTCATAATTAGAATAACATATATAATTTTTTTCCTTTGTTAATGTGAGATTTACAATAAGAATTTAATAAACATTAAATTGTCAGTCAAGATTGGTAAGATAATTATTTTTTATTATAATTAGTGGAGATCTAGAAGCTCATACAAGTGGATTCACTTTCAATTACATTTCTAATCAGCATCTCAATCTCAAGACTTGGTCTCACTAAAATAAATGTTTAATTACATCTTAATATAACAAATAAGAATTTTGCTATTTACATTTGTTTTTACAAAAATATTAAGTATTTTATTATTATTATTATTGTTATTATTATTATTATTATTTTACTTAGGAGGGAAATTTCTACCTAAACCATTAGCATTTGCAAAAATGCCAACCAAGTCCTGCCTGTACGGCAAATACGACTGCCGTTTATGTCCTTCCTTCAACGCCCTATTTCTCATGTAAAAAACTTCATGCGCCGACGCTTTCTCAACTCTCGTCATCTTCGTCGCCGGCACCACTTCACCTTCGCTTTTCTTCTTCGTCGCCGTGGTTGCTGCTTTCTCATTTACATTTTCTGCATTCTTTTTCTCTGTTGTATGCTTATCAAAATTCAAATGCAAAAACGATGAAGACGATACTTTGCTATCGCTGTTGCTGCGCTTTAGCAAATCCTTTATTAAACGCCACCGTTTCGAAGATGATGATCCAGTGGACTTACTCTTCTTACACCTGTTCGGCGACGATTCCGCTGATTGCTTCGGTTTCCAAACGCAGTACGTTTCTGTTGGCACTCCTTCGAGCTCGTCCACCTCCGACGACGATGATGACGGAATATCTCCGTCGCCGATGAACAAATTCCTCAATGGAATCCGAATTTTCTCTTCCACATCATCACCACCCTCCCCGTGGTTCAAGGAAAAATCGCGACTGAAGATTGGAAACGACGACGTTTTAGGACTCTCCAAGAGACTATTAGCGAACTCGAATTCTTCATCATCCAAAACGCCGTCGCTTTTGAAGTCTGCGCTAACCCTAGCTGCGATATCAACGAGTTTCTGATCGGAAGAATAGCTGTTAAACGACAATTCCGAGCTGTCGTTCTGCATTTGAAGCGTCTAATAAAAAAAGGCAAGCAATAAGAGATTTATGTTATGGAGTCTTTTTGAGAAGCGTGCGAATCTATTTATATCCGAGAAGCAAACTAATTAAAAATTGGAAGTTTCTTATCGTTGACACGTGTTCATGAGATTGGTTCACACGTGTGATAGATTTGGGTTGGAAACTGAAAAGTGTTTACGTCATGTCTTTCGTGATTTTAGATTTTTTTAGTTTTGTTTGGGATTTGTATTTATGCAAAATAGATTTGGAGGCTAATAATAGAGGTGACAATGTATTTGAATTATGTTTGTTTTGTATAAAATATAAAAATTATTATATTATAGTTTTTTATTTATTAAATGTGAAATTTTTTATTTTTATTAAAATTTTAAATAATATTATTTTTATATTTATTATTATTATGTAATATTTAAAATTATCAAATTTAATTAATACTTCATAACAATTAATTTCAATTTTGGATCTCTTGGGAATTTAATTTTTTATTTGTTTGATGGTTTAGTTGTAATTAAAATTTATTGAAATGTTAAATTTTATTAATATATTTAAATAATTAGATTGAGTGGAATTTTTTTTTTAATGATCATGTATTCTTTTCAAAATGACAGCCGTGGAGGTTACACATCCCACTTTTTCATATGATCTTAATGGATTAAAACAAAAACATTATTAAAAAAGATCAAAATTTCCGGTCATGATCCAAGAAAAACATTATTAAAAAAATCAAACACAACTAGAAATTAGGTCTTTGTCTGTTCTAGAAAAAAAAATTTTTTTAATTTGCAAAACCGTCGACTTTCTAGAAGGAAAATCATGGACAAAAAATAACAGCGCATGCATGACGATGATTGAGTCATCTGAAGGAAAAAAAAAATAACGGAAAACCTTGCTCAAGAGGGAAAGGCAAGTTGGCCTGAAATTTTGGGCGCATTTTTTTTTTTTGTTTGAAACTTGCCTATAAGTTATATATAATAACCTATAAAAATGTTCATACTAAATATTACTATACTCTAAAATTATTAAGAGTAAGATTTGAATATTTAATTCAGTAATTAGTATTTAGGAGTAATTTTTTTTTTATTTTACGTATTTTTTAACAATTAAATTTCCTAAAAAAAATCAATATGGATATATAAAAAGGGGTTACCTCAGCGATAATTGGATCTTCTATTTGGTGTAGAATCTTGTGGGATGATGAAAATTGAATTATTTTACAATTATTTTGCTTTTTTTTTTTAAAGAAACTGATTGCTCATCAATCACTAATCATCACCTTCAACAATTTTATTTGAATTCTCTTTTTTTTTTTTCATTGTTTGTCTTGAATTTGGAGTTTTTAAAAAAAAAGGAAATTTATGAAAAGAAATTAGAAAGAGAGAAAAGCTAGGATGAGTAAAAAAATTTGTTTTAATTTCAGCCTTAGTAATATTAATCCAATAATTAAAAAAAGGTGTAAAACTCTCAAGTCTACTAATTTTCTATTTAAATAATAGGATTTCAATCTCTCTTTTTCAAAATAAAAAAATATATATTAATTAAGAGTGATTAAATAAATAATAGGGAACCCACTTTTCTAATTTATTTTCTTTGCTATAAGTTTACAATTAATTTTATAAAATTTAAGTGCTCTCAAATTTATTCAATATTAATTGTTACTCTAAAGAATATGTTAGATTTTAAGTAGCCTCAATTTATGATTGTTTATCTGGGATAATTCAGATTGATAGATCAAAATGGTCATCTTTAACTCGTTTTTATTTTTATATTTAAAATTATTAAAATTTAATTTTTATCATTAAAATTAAAAATTTAGAACTGTTCCTGTTGATTGTAAGATATGTTATCTCGAATTTTCTTTACAGATAGTCTGTTCTCATTGAAAACAAGAAATAAATAAAAAAAAAAACCTATATAATTACTGGTCTTTCCATCTTCCTTAAAACAATGGAATCTAATGGAAAGTGGGTAGCTAACAGAATCTCAGGAATTGGGAGGCATTGTTGTTTTCGATAAGAAATGAAGGCCGAATCTATAACATGTTTAATTTAGGTACTATAACTTTTAAGGTAAGAATGACGATTTTAAATATGATATAATAATATGATATAAAAATAATATAATTTAAAATTTTAATAAAAATTATAAATAAATTTAATAAAATAAAAAAAATTATATTAATACGAATTATAATTTATAATTTTTATATAAAATATAATATAAATATATAAATTATTAATATTTTACACAATATAAATATATAAATTACCTTACCTATTTTAAAACTCAAATTTTCCTACTTAAAAGTCCCACTCACCTAAAAGTATTGAATATTGGCTTGTATTTCTAGATGGCCATCAAGTTTCTTGTCGTCTTCAGGTTTGACCGTGACTTTTTTTTTTTTTTTTACCTTAAATATTTACCACGGACATTTGCCCACCATATTCTTGGGGACAAAGTCAAGAATTTTGAAGGGTGGCCCCCAAAATCTAGAACGAAATCTCAAGAATGAAAGGGATTAATAACAGGAAAACGTGACTTTGGTAGCTCACATTTCATGACTGTAGTTTTCAAAATTAGTTGATTGTTAACTGTTGAATTAAATAAGTTTTAAGAATCCTTAACCAAAGGAATTTCTTTCATTGTCAATCTATGCTTGCAAAAAGATACCAACCAACAGGAGAAACGTGCTTTCAAAATTATTTGAGAAAGCATCCGTAATAATATTACCAACAACGTTTTGCACTTAATAATCAGGGTTTTCAAATTTTGATTTTAATTAAATTAATTAATCAAATTGATCAAATTTAATTAAATGATCTTACACTTAATCAATTTCGATTGATTATTAAAAATAATTCTTTTAAAAAAATTGATTTTTAATTAACTCAATTTGTAATCGAAATATAATAAAACTAGTTTATGACTAATGCGATATATGAATTAATTTTTTATTTAATTTAAAATTATAATTATAAAATGATATTAAATTTTAAATAAATATATGAACAAAATATAAAAGTATTATTCAAAAATATTAAATTCTTTATTTTTTAAAAGTTTTAAGTGAAAATGGATTATCAGTCTCTTCATAAACTATTTTTAAATTTTGTATAATTATCAAATTTAAACTTGAAAATAATGCATTTAAATTTATAAAATGATAAAAAGTCTTGAAAAATAAAGACTTTCTTAAGCTTAAAGATATATATTGGATAATGCTTAAAAATACAATGAAATACAAATGAATTAAATTATCATTCATAATTAAAAATATATAATTTCATTTTTACTTTAATTATTTTATTGTTTATATATAAATATCCGTATTTAATGAAAAAAATTCTTATATTAAAAAATTCTTATATTACAAAATTAAAGAAAATAATTTTTTTTTATTATTTGAACATTTGATTAAAAAATTAAAAAAATTGTAAATACTGTAGATAAATAGTCTTCAAAAGTCTTATAAAAAAATTTTTTCATCTCCATCTCAATGTTAAGTTATTAATATAAAATGATAAAATTTAGTAGCAAAGTATATATACTTATCATCTTATAAAGATTAATATTTTTAATAAATAAAAACAAGTAACATTATATCATTTTCATAGTTTACTTTTTTACTTGTACCACAATAGAGTACCCCAACTCAATCTTTTTACTCTTGCATTTCATGGATACAATATTTAGCAATACAAAATAAACAAAAAAGCCTCGTGTAAGATTATTTTACTGTTACATTATAAAAATAAAAAATGCTTTAAGTTTTAACATTAAAGTAAACATACTTCAATTACTATTTCTTACAATAATCTAGTTAAACAAAATGTAGTATTTAAATATTGTCATTATAATTTTTATTCATTTTTATTCGATAAAATTGTTGTTCTATTTGATGGGATGCTCGATTTTGAAGTTTCATTTTCCGTAACTTAATATAAGACCTATTATTCGTAAAAGCAAGTTCTAAAAGAAAAGCCATTGTAGTGCAAAAATCCTACAAATTAATAACAACACTATAATTACTAATTAAGTAGAACGAAATTGATAAAAAAACTGTTGTCACACTAATTTTTTTTAGAAAAAGTATCAATTACCAACGAAAACTCTCAAAAGCTCTGGATTTGGTGTTTTGTAATTAACATCCCCTTTAACCATTAACCAGTTGCTAAAAATTAAAGTAATAGTTTTCTAAAATTAAAAAATAATATATGCAACTGTTAATGAATGAAAGAGATGAAGATAAAATTTTATTTGATACAAGTATGTCTAATACCATTGGCATATGCAATTGATGGACTAAATGAGTAATAAGAGAAATTCAGCACAAGAATATTTCATCGAGGTGGAAGATAGCATCCATTAAATAGTGAAATAAATAATTTTTGTCTTTTAAGATTTATTAGAAAATTTATAAAAATAAATTTATATTTAAAATTTTTAAATTTAAACAAATATATTTAGATTGTTAAAGACATTTAAATTATATATATTTAAAAAAGATTATATACCTAGATTGTTAGAGATAAGTCTAAATTATATATTATTTTTAAAATTTAAAAAGAGATATATAAATGATTTAATATTTCATTTTAAAAAAGAAATAACAAAATTAATAATTTTATTCTAATGTATTTGAAAAAAGTGAGTTTGGGATAAATTTTATTTGATTTAAATTAAATAAAACTCTTGAAATATTAAAATAAACCTAATTTTTAAACTTTCAAATATTTTTAAAAATAAAATAATTATTGAATAGGATTATTTGGTTAAAAATTTAAATTAAATTGTTATCTTACATGTCAAAAATATAGGTTATCCATGTAAGTATTCACATGGCATACCTTATCAAATATCCATATATTATGTAATATATATATATATATATATATATAAATATTAGATTTAAGATGAAAATTTTTTTAATTTTCAAAATCTTACATAAAGTGATTTGAATTTTTAATGTTTTATGTGAATTTTTAATGTTTTATATAAATTTTTTAAAAATATAATTTTTTTTAAATCAAGATAAAAAAGATTGGTGAAAATTTTGGATAAATTTAATCTTTATAATTTTTAAATATGTTTAAAAGATTTTGATAATTAAATAATTTTTTAAACAAGAGTATTTGGTAAACAACTAAAATTATTTATTAAAAAAATAAAATTCATATTTTATATTTTTAATTTTAAAAAATATATCTTTAAATTGATTTGAATTTCAATTTTAATTTGAATAATTTTAATATTTGAATAAATTTAAATTTTCTAATTTATAATTAAAAGAAACCATCTTTTAAAAAAAAAAAAAAACTATCCTATGTGCCATTTAAGAGAATTGTTCATATAAATGCTTATGTGGCAAACTTATTTATATATGTTGTTATAATATATATATATATATATATTAGATTTATATATAAAATTAAAAGTACATGAAATTATTCATTTTATTTCAAGTTATTAAAATTTTTAATTTAGTACTTTAGTGTTTGAATATTTTTGTTTGATGATTTTATTTAATTTATTTTAAATATAAGAAATTAAAAATTAAAAATTTAATTTAATATATTTATTGTTCATTTAATTGAAATAATTAATCAAATCGATTAAATTAATTTTAGATGGTTATTTTCAAAATTAAAAGATTTGATTTGATTAATGAAAATAAAATAACATAATTTATTTAATTTAATTTTAAATAATTTAATTTAAAATTAACCAAATTGATCCAATGAATACCCCTATTAAATAAAATGAAAAGATTATCCAAGTCAGTTAGATAACTACTATACTGGTATCTTTGGTATGATTCATGGTTTGGGAGAGTTCCTGTGATTTTCAGTTAAGGCTATAAATGTTGAGTGTGAAAATTAAGGATTTTTTCTCATTTTGCGGCTGACAGGGATAGATTTGAGTAAAAATGTGAGTTATGAGAGAAACCAGGTTCATGCACTAGCAGCCATGAAAATCTGTCCTGAAAATTGTGGTGGTGGGAAACCAACATGTTTGATTTAGATAAAACGACTTTCATATATCATGCTTGCTTGAGCAATGACTTGGAATAAATGGCGGACAGTTGTGTTGGTATGGAGTTCTCTTCATTGGGAAGATTGGAGACAAAGACTCCCAGAAGCACAGAGCCAATCACCAAATAAGTTTAACCCCCAACTCAAGTTAAAACAAGCCAATGAGAGCACATGGCCACCTCTTAGAAGAAGAAAACTTAACACACGCAAAGAAGGGATAGTTTCACCAGCAGATGGTTGGCTTAAGAAGTAAAGAGACTGTTCTTTTAAATTTAAAGTTTATTTTAAGTGATTCGTATAATCATTCTTAAAAGTGATATTCAGCAAATCTAAAATGTATTAGATAAAACTCAAAAACTCCTTTAGTTTACGTTTTAAAGAGGATGGCTTTACCATGATGGCTAAAATTTAAGTTAAAAGCCTGCCAAAGACTAGTGGAGAGATCGCAGTACTATATGTTTCAAAGCTTTTCTCTGATATTACGTTAAAAATATTACATTAATAAAGAAAATGCTCCTTTGTTCCATGACGGCGAGTTCAAAAACAGCACCTGCTTACATGGAATCTACTATGGTTGGACTGAGAATTATTTATGGTGGTTAGGAAAGTTGAAGAATGCATCATCACCTTTATTGCACATTCAAGCATATGAAAAACAATTACACAGCAGTGAGGTCAGTATGTTTGAAGCAAATGTATGGATTAACAAGACTTTATAAATCAGATTTACAAGCATAATCTACACGTTGAGTTGAGCAGAGGCAATTTCAATGTTCATGCTTTCCTCTCCACCTATACTTGAACTGCAACTGTGACATGTAGAGAAAAAGAACTCTAATCATATCGAGGCCCTGTACTACTCGCATGAGTTCTTTCTTCTTCAACTTACCTTTAGATTATCTGTTCTGATCCTATCTTTGAAGGCAAGTCACTAGAATTCCCGGTATCCATGCTTTCAAGTTCCAAGCCTTCCGACCTTCGTCTTTGTATTTGATCATGTTTCATAGGTTGAAATTGAATCTGAAGAGCCTTATAGGAAAATACAGGTAGTAGTGTGGCAATGACAACAAGAAGGGTGGTGAGCCAATATAGAATGCTTGGAGCACAAGCCTCCACAAAAACCTTGTATGCTGTTGTAGAAAATGTAGGCGGGATGGAACCATAAACCACCAAGAAAATATACCAAAGTGCAATGCTTCCCCAGATGAAAAGGTGCTGGATCAATGTGAAGTAATTGATGGAGAGTGCCATTTGGGAATTTACTGTCCACACGACACATGTATACATTGTCAGCCCAAGAACTGCATAATCACCAACTTGACCATCTTTGCGGAATGCTTGACCGGTTATCGATTTAGTGGTTAAGAAGAATATGATTATGGAACTAAGAACTCCATTAAACATCCAGCCAAGTATGGAGACCCAGCTGAAGAGGACATTCTGGGCACCCTCTTGGTATAATAAAGGATTCTGCACAAAAAGGATTTCATTCTTAGTTCATGTTCACAGGAGGCAGCAGTTCATAATCCTGATCAAGTTAATTCTTTCAAGTATAACATTTACTGTCAACATGCTCTGCAGCTAGACAAATAGTAAAATATAAGAACTGTATTCAGTTGACATGTTGCCATTTGTTCTTCCAAATGTACCAAATTTATATGAGACTGGAGAAATTCTCAGCCAACAGATTAGCAGCATAGTTTAATATTTTTGAAGCAGAAAAATATATTTCAAAAATGCAATTGGGGTTTAAATATTGAAATCAACAATGACCAGACTGATAAAGAAAACTATCATCGTTTTGCAACTATGTTGTTATGTTTAACTCTGGAGAAGTGAATTTTATCACTGACCCTTCTCTTCCCCACTATAACTCCTTCACGGCATCATTAACAGGTAAAAGCTCTGATGGTAAAAACCCAGTTAGGGTTGCCACTCATTGCATGTCCTATGTAAAAGCCCCCAACTTCCAATCTAATTGTCACTATGTATCAAATCTTCTTATATAAAGAATTGTTTACCTTGAGGCAAAATTCGGCTGAAAAGTCCTGATCAAAAACACCAAGAGCAATTACTGGAAGCGAAGTGAAGAAGACATTGTAGCATGACATGTACCAATCATTATAAGCAGGCTGACCAGAAAATGAAGCATAGGCTTCAAACCAAAACAGAGTAAATCCAAAAGTGATATTCTTGTAGAAAAAGTAGCATATCTGCAGTGACCAGAAAACAAAATTAAGATGTAAGCATGGATAATTCATTTTGTTAATCGTTTGCCTCATAAGTCATCAAAAAAATGGAAGAGAACACCAAACAATTTGTTAAAGATCTCATTCTCCATTCAAGGAATGAACATCAAGTTGAGGAAAAGAATCTACCACAATAAATATCACATTCAAGATACCAAAATCATAGGATTATCTCAATTTAGTTCTGGAGAGAAAGAAGAATAGGACAGAACAGTTTTACCATCATTGCTATTCGCCTGTAACACCAATGGCCATGCACCAATAATAAATGTTCTAGAAAACGAAATTGAGCTATTGAAAAATCACTTGCCATCACAGCCTGCAATTCATAATAGTTATTAAAAGTAAAATCAGAAACTTGACAATTGCAGTTATATAGCTTGAATTTTAAAAGTATTTTATTATCATCTAAAGAAGAAAAAAAATCATAGAAAGCTTTTAAGAAAGTGAAAATATGATTGTCAGAAAGAAAAGCAAAAACATGTGAAGGTCACTTGGAGGAAGCAGAAATGAATTCTCAAAAGTAGTGATATATGAATTGAGAAATCAAAATCTCATGGAGATGACAAGCAGACATATTGATCTATCTTCTTCAATCTTATCCACCACCTCTTCTGATGGTTGCTCAAAAATCTCAATCAAGCAGCAAATGGTTGTCACCACCCATCTTAACAAATCCATAAAGTTTGAGTTCATTCTTCTCCTCAAAGAGGATATCTATAGAAAGCCACAAATCATTCAATTGTTCCTATAAAACAGATGGACTATCAAGCATCACCCGCAAATTGACACACAAAACCAGGTTACCTAAGTGGAAGGAGGCAAGAACCAAGGTGATGCTGATAAGAGGATCAGCAGTAAAAATCACTTCATACCTCAGCATGCACAAAACAAATAGTGGTCCCACTAAAAAATCTTGAGAAAGGAGAAATGAAAAATGTACAAATTATAAGAGAAGACTATAGGAATGAAGAAACATATTTTTACCTGCATCCCCTCAACGCCACTGATGCCAACTCCAATATCAGCCTCATGAAGCATGCCAACATCATTTGCCCCATCACCAATTGCTAGTGTTGTTTTGCCTGTTATGGATTTCACCAGTCTTGTAACCTGCATATCTTCTAGAATTCTATCAGATTATTTTCAGGTCGGTAACAACATAGCCTGATAATCTTTATAAAACTCCCATAGTTTACTTGATTCCATAAACATGAAACTTAATCTTTATAAAACTCCTGTAGTTTACTTGATTCTGTAAACATGATACTTACAATAGCCTTTTGTTTGGGCGAAGAGCGACAGCATATAACAGTAGCACATCGCATTGCAAGATCCATAAAGCAGTTTACCAGATCCTTGTCCAGAGCAAAAGTCAAGGACTTGCCATCAATTATCAAACCAAACTTAGTTGAATGTTCTTCAGTTACTTGAGATTTTCTCTCATCTATTTGCTCTTTTACACTTTTAAGAGAAGCCTGACAATAATAATAATAGATTCAGATTTTTCCCCAACAAGGATTGCACATCACTTTAGAACAATATAGTCCATACCTCTGCAATGGCCTCCCTATCCCCACTCTTTTCCAAGGCTTCAATTTCTTGTAACTCTAGCGTGATCACAATCTCTTTCATTCCACGTCTTAGTAGATTGCACGCATACCTGTAGAAATATAATATTTATAACATTTACGTTCATTAAACTATAGATGATAAGTTCATTCACCTCAACTTGTTACAATACCCAATATTAATAGCAGTTCCCCTTTTGTCCCCTGTCAAGACCCATATTCCAATTCTAGCACGTGCAAGCCTGTCAATACAAGCTGGGACCTACATATCAGAGAAATATAGCGGTTTATAGAAAGCATAAGTAATTTAAAATAGACAACAAACTTATTACGTACAACGCCAATAAGATGGTAGATATATTAAAGAAAGTATTGAGATAGGTCACTGATTTCAGAAGTTTCACTAGGAATTATATAAATAACAGTTGCTACACATCCTGAACTAGTGTAACTGACCCCCTTTTGTAGTTTGTCTTCAACAGCTGTAGCACCCAGAAGACTTAAATTCCTTTCAATCCTGTCAGCCATCTCATCCACCAAATCATCTCGATCAGCAGTTACAGAAGTTTTGGCCTTCATAAACTCTTGTTCCCAAATAGCATACTCATCATCACCAAGCTCACGATATGCGACTGCCATGGTTCGTAATCCTGCTTCAGAATATCTGTCAATATGCTCCTTGGTCTGTGCCTCAAACTCCCTCCCATCTTTTGAAAGCCTTTCAAATATCACACTGAATACATAGTTATAAATGAAATTCTACATCAACTGGTCTATTTTAGAACTACATAAAATTCCACCACAATATATTGGAATGAGGATATACGGGTTATGAGTTCTAACCTGTCTGCACCCTTAACAAGGAGAAGTAATTGGTTCTCTGGGTTCCTTACAATTACAGACATCCTTTTGCGAGCACTACTGAACTCCAACACATGAAGAAGCTTGTATACTCTGAAATGTAGAAACATATTCATTCACATGGAAGTGAACTGAACTGAACTTCACAGAGCGAATGGTGAAAAAATAAAAGTAGGATAAACTGAAAGCAACAGATTGTGCATAAAGTTAGTAACCATCAGCTTCCCTTTAAGTACCCAACTTTAGCTACTGGAAACTCAGCAGCCTATCAGCTATCTTCTGATAGAAGTACATGATAGGAGTCTGTAAAACCAAGAATCCAAGAGCCTTGAGCAGAATAATTTTCAATTTAAACTCTACCCTATTTCTATCCCTCCAAAAAGACCAAAAAATAGAGAGAGGAATAAAACCAATACCTATTTTCCCTATCTGTACAAGAATGTCCACCAACAATTCTTCTATTTATAATTAATATAGCTCACAAAAAAAATATATAATACTATATACCTATATTGCCATTATAACTCAGCAGAAAGATCTATAGTATTATTTTCACCATCAAGATCATTATAACATATTTATATTCACAGGAAAAAGGGATAAGCAGAACTGAATATAATGCAGCTTCACTAGCAAAAGGGATATCTTTTGTTCTCACAAGAAAGACCAGTGCTTGAAAAAAAAATGGTCTTTCACAGCTGCCTTGTCAAGCAAGTTGATCTTATGTTTATATGAAACGTTACTGAATAACTTGACAAAACCTTATCTAAAACTGCCACAAAGTGGCATATGAGTCGATTAATGAAGCCACAAAACTTCCTTTTTCCTATATAAGATAGATAATGTCCATAAAAGATTAAAAATATAGTGTGAAAGGGTTCCAAAAAGATTACCTGTCAACCTTTTCCCTATTCCCAGGATCTATTTCATGCAATTTTATGCTGGTTTGATTCCTTGCGAAAAACTGAAAACCAACTTCTCGTGCAGCAATGACAAAGGCAGCTTCATCAGGTGACTCAGCTTCATAAATAATGTCACCAGATTTTGTTTCTCCAGGAACTACCGTATGGCAAGTTGCTAAGACCCAAAAGAACTTCTGTATTACATCATGAAGAGGTTCATTTACCCATTGCCCATCCATAATGCGTTCATCTCTGAAGTTGAAACCCTTGACAGATTTTGCTGATTTCACAGTATCAACAGGCATTGGTTCAGTCGATCTCTCATCTCCTTTCCTTGCCAGAGCAATTTCTACGTCTGTCATGCCACGACCATAGGCAGTGCCAGCTATTGAGCATTTCAAAAACTCCATTGAGTTACATGTCAAAGTTCCTGTTTTGTCAGAGAGTATAGTACGGACCTGACCAAGTTCCTCATTCAAATTAGATGTCCGCGCATTTGCTGGCCTATGTGTTTCCTTATCATACATTGCCTGATCTTGGTTAATGAAAATGCTTTGTAAAACCTTGCAAATCTCAATAGAAATATACAATGATATTGGTATCAAATATCCATACAACATAAGGCCTGTCAAGAAATGAAAAAATGCAGCCACTGATGCTCTTCTGGGGTCAAAGAATACAGTTGTGCTATCTGGTCGGAGATACCACCTTCTATAATTGCCACCACTAATATCTTTATTAGTTTCAATTCCAAAAAACAAAGACCCTATGAATGATACCAAAATCAGAGTACTGAAAAGGACATAAATTATCTTATCCATCCTCCTCTCAATCTTAGTCCTCTTGGAAGGAGGGTATGTAGCATTCTGCATTACTTTTGTGTCATGTCCAGTGAAAATAACCACACCATAGATATTTTCAGTATTTTTCAGTTTAGAATCTCTCAAAAGGATCTGCTGTGGGGAAAGTGGGTATTGTTGACCTTTATAGTACAATGTTCCAATGAAAGAGAAAAGATGTTCATTTGGGTCCTCACACTTGATCACCGCTCTGAATTCCTGAAGGGTCTCTTCATCACGCAGGGAGGATGTTACCCCTAGGGCATGCTTCAACTTTAAATTAGTCTCTCCATCAAGGTTCATTGTCTCAACATAACAAATACCATCTTCAGAGCTTGAAGAAAGTAGGAGTAGATCAGCTGGAAAATATTCATCCTCATACACCTTAACAAGGTCACCAACACGGAGATTCTTCCATTTGGTTTCTCTGAAAAACCAACTATTTCTATAAACTTCAACCTTTCGATTGTTTGCCTCTATATCCTGAAACCATGGAAAATCTACTTTAGATATCTTACATAAATTCAAACGGAAATTTTTCCAAAGGAAAAGCACCCCACCAAGAGGAAGGGGTGTGGACAAGATAAGCTTAAGCAAGCCTTCAGCAAGAAATGCAATACATATCAAGAACCAAATAAGGAACAGAGTGCTGATAAAGACAACAAGAATAACATTTCAGTATGTAAGCAATTGGAAAAGGGAAATTGTATCTAGAATAAATTCCAACACTGAAATTAAATAAGGCTCTTCTACAAACCCGTAATATAAATTATAACCAGTTACAAGCCAAAAGCTAAGCATTTGCATTAGGAAGCCAAACCAACAATATAATTATATCCGTTTCTTTCTTCTTTATTTTTTTTAACTGAATACACAAAAGAGTCCAATGTGAACCTATTGCATTTGAATTAGGAAGCAAACTAATAGTAGTAAATGAAAAATGTTGGAAAACAATAGGGGAAGGAAGAGGGGTTGGAGCTCAAAGCCATAGCAGCAAAGCACTGAGAGGATAAAGAGAAATTCAAGCATCACCTGCCGTCTTCGCCTCCAATCTTCCACACCTTCTTTGGCCATTGTAGCTCCAATCACCACAATCAGAGGTGCAAGAACGCTAGGTGCTGAATATGGTGCCAATGGAGTAAATGAGACACAAGCTACAACAAGAAAGTATATATTTGCAACCCTCCTAAACTGCTCAAACAAAGACTTTGGGATAAAATTAGCTGCTGTATACTTGGTAGTGGACACATAATTTCCCCTATACATTAGACGAATTTGCTCTTGACTATCAGGTTCATTGCAATACACCACTCTTGAGTACCCTTTTTGCCCAATTTGGGCATGCTCATCTGTAGAAGTAGGTCCACCACAACACGAGAATGAGCAACGTTTGCTTAAATGTATACTTTTTTTCCTTACTACAGCCATTTCCAGAGCCTAAACCGAGATGGGGTTTCTCTCTTTTGGCAATAAAATCACAAAACCACCCCGATTTCCCTCAAAATTATTAACTACATTAATCTTCCAATTTAACCACTAGTTCACTACATATGAATAAAAAAAAAAAAAGCCATAGCCAGAATAAAATCCCACCTTTATATCACAATCAAATTCACCAAAACAGAAACAAAAACCAACCCAATAACTACAAATTCCTATCTTTGCATGAGCTTTGAATGTTTCTCAGCTAAAAACCCAACACAGAAAGTGCATGAACTAGCATAAAAAACTAAACTTTAATTTTAAAAAATACGACAAAAACATGAAAAGCTCACATCTGTAACCTTAACTTCAACAATTTAAGACAACCCAACAAATGAAACTGTCTTGAAAAAAAATCCTTAAACCACCAACAAGTTTTATCAAAAAAATTCCTTACTTTCAGTTGAAGTCCCAGAGATCTCTTCCTTGTTCTCTGAAAGTACGTTGCAAACTTTAAGAGAAGTGTGAGAAAGACAACATGAAAGAATAAAGAAGCTTTGCATTAGTGTGAGAAAGAAAGAGTAGTTAGCTTTGCCGCTTTTATAAGCAAGAAGTAACCATGAACAACTTCACATGCAGGGTACAGCTTTGGATAATTGCCTTACAAAAAATAAAATCCAGGAAATTACACTTAACCCACCTGTTGTTTAACATTTTTGCAATAACATTCCATTTTTCGTAGGCTTATTTGGCCATATGATGACAGTGATTCACACCTTATTATTATTTTACGATTGAATCCTTAATATTCAGTTATAAAATACAATTGTGATATAAATTAAATATTTTTCATCCTGCATTTAAATAAAGTTTTAAACTTAAAACTTTAATCTTATCACATTTATTATTATAAGAAATAAAAGTGTAATTAGAAATCATATTAAAAATACAAAATTATGTTTAATTTGATAATGTGTTAAAAAATATTTTCAATATATTTTATGATTAAAAATTTAAATATTTAAGAATTTAATCATAAAATAGCACTACATCCCAATAATAATCCCTCCCACCATATTTCAAAATGAATTTTTAATTTAAGATCAATCCAATAAAATTAATTGCTTGTGAACATTTTATTAAAAGTTTTAAATTATTAAATCATTAAAAGTTACAAATTTTATTTTTTACTTTCATTAGTGAATTTAATTTGATTTTGGATGTTTGTATAATTATGAAATTATTTTAATGTAAATGACCAAAGTGCAAGATATATTTGTAAATGTCATTTTTACCCTTCTTTTAGATTGTTAGCCCTTTTAATCAAATTGCTTAGTGATAATAAAAAAATATGTAACCACATATATAAAAAACAAATTGCAACTACAAAAGAAATCATACAAAAATCAACCTCAATTCCAATCAATCAATAAATAAAATATACATGTAACTTTCAATATCAAGTGTCTAGAAAGCTCAAATTGTTAACATTATCTTTAATCTTTTGTATTAATATTTCTTTATTTAAAAAAAATTACAACTCGAATATAATTTTGAATATATAGTAACAATTTAATAAAGTTTTGTAAAACAAACAATATCCAAAAGTTAAAACTTAAAGTTTAATTTTGATTTAAGTTTGAAATTTTCATCCGATTCAAATTCTAATACAACAAAGGTGAGATATGGAAAAAGATGTTTGTCAATGAAAGAATGAAAAAAAAAAAAAAGAATTTTTTTGGGGTGCTTTTTGGCTTCCACTCTTCTATTACAAATGAAAAAAAAAAAAAAAAAAAAAAAAACAGAAACTATTTTTCATATTTTTGCCATGATTGCCATGCAAATTGCTTTGTAACTTATTCCCCACTCCCTTTGCATTCTTTACTAAGTTAAAAATTCATACATGGCTGACTACATAAGAAAATTATTTCATTTATCGATAATAAATTTTTAAATTTCATCTATAAATTTAAAGTAGTGATACATATAAATTAATGTATATTTAAAAAATTAATATAATAAAAATATATTTATGAATTTTTAATCTCATTTATAAAATTTAAAAATTTTATCGATGCATGAAAAACAAACTATATATATATATATATATATCACTTGTTTGCTTTTTTTTCTCTTATTATTTTCTTTTTCTAAAAAATTTTTTTAAGGTAATATTATTAAATTTTGGTGAAATAAAAATCTCAAAATAAATAAATTATTTAGTTATTTAAGAGAACATAAGATAAGATATATCGTACTTTATATGAGTCCTTATTTGAGATTAATGGTAATAAAAAGCCATTAATAAGGCTTAAATCATAAAAGTGATGAATGTAAGAATTAGTTTTTTCATTTCCTTTTCTCTTCCATAATAAAACGAAAGGAAGATACCTTTTCTTCCCACATAAGATAAGAAAAAGGTAATAAAAATGGTTCAAAGGAATCAAAGCTCACCAAAGTTATCACCATGCTTGACAAGTTTGGTATATTGTTGGTTTATGGTCACATGTTATCTTTCCTTTTTCATTCATTTTCTAAAGGAATAAAAAATATATTGTTGAAAGACAAATTACAATCTAATAGGTCTGCGATTCAATTAATCTCAGTATTTATAATTCCTTTATCTTATCTCAAATTATGATTTCTTTGAACCATAAAAAGACAAATTGATCAAGAAAAGGGAAGGGATTTATTAAACACAAAATAATAATAATTAATATTCATAGATTACATATAATTAAAAACTATACATTTATTTTTTTTGGTGATCTTAAAAATGGTACTAATAATTATTTTTTAATAGAAAAAGCTTAGTAATCTTACATTTTCTTGAGTTATATGTCAACATGAAGTCTCCAAAAAATGTTTTGTAATTTTGGGCAAGAGAAAAAAAATGATTCACAAAAGAGGAGGTTTATTCTTTACTTGGCAAAGCATTTTATACATACCTTACCAACTAAGGGAAGGTGCATTAATTCATTATTTGCATCAATTTGTATACATAACATTTATTGCTAAACCAAAATGTTTGAAAAACCCATACATATATTTCATCCATTTTGGAAGGAAACTCCCAATGATTTCGAATTCGAGGCAGTTAAGAGAAAAACAAACTCTCTTGCTACTTGTGTCAACATCCGTTAATTATATAAAAGGAATTTAAGTGTGTTTTTATTTTGTTATTAAGTGTTAATTAAGTACTAATTTGTTCACCAATAATGTCACTATGAAGGAATAAAATTCAAAGGTCCTAATCTATCTAAACATATTGAAATTATTAGGGTAAGTCATCCATAACTTTTACGAAATATTGCTTCATTTCCACTAAAATACTTTCCTGCCTTGTTTATTTCAATATTCCATGCCAAATTCATGTTTTTCACATCATTATGGTCAAAGAAAATGGAAAAATAAGTCTTTTGCAACCCTACCAAAAAAAAAAAAAAAAACAAACTATAGAAATAGACTACATGAAGGTTACTTAATTATGTTGACATTTTCTAGCAAAAATTTAAAAAAAAAACTTATGTTATATTTACGTATATACGTGATAAGTTCACTAGTGTTTATGCATGCATTGCGTATATTTTTTTAACCATAAATGTTTAATTAAAATTTTGTTGGTGGTGTATGTCTGCATGCATGTGTTTATATCTACATGTTACTTAATAATGTAAATTTATATCTACCAAGGATTGTGCCATAGATCACACATAGCAATCTTATAATTATAGTCGAATTATCAAAGGTTCAAAAGAAAGAAATTACCAAGGGTTAGCGCATGTTCATGAATAGCTAAGGCTAAGCTAGAGAAGTTTCAAACTGGTTCAGGCTCATTCTTTTAGGCTATCGTATAGCTTGGAACAACAATAACCAAAACACAAAAACATGGTGAAACAACTTGATCATAATAATTTCGTGATGAGTGCATGATTCTCTTGTCTCAAAAAACATATTTCGGATTTTTTTTTTTTCAAATCAAAATGATTCATTGATTTAATTACAAGTAACAGATTGACATTAAAATTGGATATATATATATATATATAATTAGAGGTTGTCAAAATTTGAAATTTATTTCAATTGATTTATGCAATCAATTTTAAAAAGTGATATTTAATAATTTTGACATTCAAATTTTAATATTTGTAATTTTTATTTTCTTTGATAGATTGCAGCCTCTATAAAAGAAAATTAAAAGAAAAAAATGGAGGCTGTCTTTGCCTGGCCTCAAAGTGTAACTTTGCCTTTAGTGCAAAACGTTGGAGTCCAAGTGTAGGGAGACTTGTCTAGGATTGTTTAGCGTCCAGGTTCTTTAAGGAGAAAGGACACCCTAGCTCTTACTAAGGCCCAGGTAAGGGTCTAATCTATCTACCCAAAGTCTCTAAATTCATTCGAAACTGAGTTTTGAATGCCTAGATTCTAGGGACTTTCATAAATTTTAGCTGAAAATAATGTATAGATCATATGCTTTGTTATGCGTAGATTCTAAGAACTCAGACTTTGATGGGCCAAAGAATTCAGCCCAATTCTGCCCCAGGTGATCTTGCTCAAGTTGGATAGGATCAACCAACTAAAGCTTCTGTCCCAACGTTTTTGAACCTCATTGAAAACCCACTCCAAAGAAAGAATTGCCTCTTTTGGAGATCATTTGGAATTGTAATGGGAAGGGATTTTAATCATAATTTAGTATAAGCCAATCATGTATAGTTCAAGAGAATTATTGAAGCCATTTTGGGGATGACAATAACCAAAAAAGGATTGAAAAGGATCAAATTGAGGTTTTGTTCTTGTGAATGATTGGCAATCAGTAATAAAGAAATGCAACACTTTGAGAACAAATATTGGAAAATGTTTTATTTAGAGTCATAGTTGTCTGTTGGATGACCCAGCTGAAAATTTTAGATCTGCAACTGTAATCATGCCCTTGCAATAAAAGGGCAGGATGGAGTAAGCTCAAGCTCAGTGTGAAATATGATCTTCATAACCATCAATCCCTTGGTTTCATATAGTGTATGATATCATAGAATAAGATAATAATATGAATAGAATTAAATTAAATAATATCATTCTATTTTTTGTTTGATATATGCAAGAATTAAAATAGAATAATTTATTTATTTATCAAAATTATCCTTCCTTAAAATTTATACAATTTAAATTATTAATGTAACTTTTAAGAGTATAATTAGATATGTAAGTTTAATCTTATAGATAAAAAATAATCTTTTTCACTTAGGAAAGATTAAATAATTATATGTCAAAAAGATATTAATCTTTCTTATAATCTCTATCCCTCTCTTTAGATACAAATCGAAGATAATATAAAATGATTAACATATCATATCATATCTTATCAATAATCTATGCATTAAACATGACCTGAAATTATTACTCCCTTTATCCTAAATTGTTTGAGTGTTATTAATTTTTATCAAGTTTAAGAAAAAAAATTTTAATTTTAATATATTTAATATTGAATTTTAAATTTTAAATTTTTTTATAAATTAAAGTTTCATTATTTTAATATCAAAAAGTAAAAAAATCATTAAAAAATTTAAAA